TTATTATTATTATTATTATTATTATTATTATTATTATTATTATTATAGCCCGCATAGCCCGTTTAGCCCGAAGCCCGCTAGGGTTAGGGTTAGGTCTTTTTATTGGTAACCTGTTTAAATCCGAGCTTTTTAGGCCCGGACCGTTTAACCCGAAGCCTGCTACGGCTAGCCCGAAACCGCTAGGGCTAGCCCGTTTAACATCTCTAGTTTTTAATCCAGGGTCCGGATAAAAAGGACCAAAATTGATGAAATCGACAAATTATAGGACCTAAATTGAAAGTGGTCAATATAAGGGTGGTTTTTGGACTGTGACCAAGTTATAATACCAATTTTAAAATTTTGCCTATTTTTAATATATATACCACCGAATACCTAAATCAGACGCATAAATTATGTTTTTGCAAAAAAAAAAAAAAGAAATGAATATTTAGTTATCTCATATCTAAATAAAATACGTATAATTCATGATTAACATTTATTCGTATATTTACTGATAACATATCCAAATCGAATGCAATATTTGACGAAAATGATTCTGTATATTAATTGAATTAGTTTTTTAATTTAAATTTTAAATGATTGGCCACCCATTTTAAAAAATGTTTAAGGAAGTTACTAATAAAGGTAAATTTATTATTACTATTTTTTTGCATGATTTTAGTTACTATTTTAAATAAATAGATAATATATACATAGATTGAAGAAAAGAAATGAAAAAGCAGGAGATAATATAACTATTTAACTCATAATTGAAGTTGAAAAAAAAAAAGACTCATAATTGAAGAAAGAACTCAAAAATTTAGTAATTTATTTTTGCTAAAAGTAAGATTCGAAAGTAATCGCTGTTGAATACTCCCACAGTTCAAGTTTGAGTTGAGTCTCACCCACATCATTTCCATTAGTATATACCCTGGAAAACAAAGCACTCTGAACTCCATCTCTATGGAAAAAAAAAAGTTTTTTCGTCCTTTATCTGCAGGTCGTTTTTAATTTGGTCTCGTAAATAGACCGTTTTTAGAAATAGTCCCTAACTGAAAAAAAATTAGTTTTTTTGGTCCTCTGACCGCCAACAGCAGGTCACAGTGACCTGCTACGCCTACGTGGAAATGCGTTATTTTTTTTTTTTTTGCTGAGTTGTATGCTTAGGTGGCGATTATATGGCATAATTGTAAAAAAATATGTTGACAAGGGGATTCGAACCCATGTCCAGGGCAGTAAAAGAGCTCATGGACCACTTGAGCTAACACACAATTTGTTAACTATTTAACTTCAATTATATATCTACCAATATCGTTTTATCTAATTTATTTTATTCAATTTGTACTACTTTTATTAATAATAATAATAATAATAGTAATACAAATATAAAATAATAATAATACATAAAATAACTTACTTATAAAATAAATATATAAATTAAATAATTGTACTAAATAAACATATTCAATAATATAGTAAATAAGAATATTAAATATTATAATCATATTTTATTTGTATTTTAAGTAAATATTTACCAAATAAATAAATATATTAAATAATACATGTTTGTTGTGTTTTTGCCCTTATTTTATTGAGTTTTATGTGTTTTATTTTGTGGTTTTTAGGTCCGTTTTAGGCTCGACCGGTCCATTTTGTCGTGTTTTGTATATTCTTGCTCTTGTATAGCTTGTTCGTATTTTTGCGCGTCGTCTCTTTGTTTTTAGTGTGATTAGGTCCATTTCATCGCGCACGAGGAGACGAGCCATCCGAGTCGACCGAGCCGTCCAATCTGGAAATCCCGACCAAACCGTACTCGGAGGAAGAGCATTCAAAGACAAGAATTTTGGTCCAAGTTTCGAGCGAATCGGAGTTCGGTGCGAGAAGATAGAGCGAAATAAAGAATCAAGCACGCACGCTCGCGCACGCCTATGCCCGCACGCACGCACGCCTACGCACGCCGCCTACAACGCACGTCGCGACCTCGCGGAAAAGCTGGCGGGCTCGAGAGTGCCAGCCTCCTCGCATGTCGCGAGCTCGCGGAAATCCTAGCGACGTCGAGAGTGTGGCCGTCCCAAGCGCCTGCTGCTCGCGCCCTCGAGGAATGAAGCGCGACCTCGCGAGTGCTGCTTGCCTCGCCCGTGACGCCCCCGCGCGCACGCGGAAGTCCTCGCGCCGTCGAGAGTGCTCAGCGCGCCCGTGCATTCACCTGCCCGCGTGCTCGCGGATTCGCGC